GTGACCGAGGAGGCGTCCACTTCTTAAAGGCTTTACGTCGTGGGGGGCTAGGAGCTAAACAGACATACTGCATCAGAATTGAAAACCCAAAATAGAATTAGAATTTGCTGTTCTGATTGGGAAAGGGATACCTTCTTTGTTATACTTGCTGGAAAAATACAGGCTTGTTTTCCTTCTTTCTATCTGTGTTCGTGGGATGATATCTTCTGAAAAGGAAAAGTGAACACTTTATCGAGTCTCTGGTTTAGTTTAAAGCAATATTCAGGGATGCAAATAATATCAACACTGTTACAAAGCATGCCAGCTACTATTCTAAGCCCTTTACATAAATTACCCAATTAATCCAACTAATGACCCATGAACTTGGTATTATTTTTATCTCCACTTTACAGATATGGACATTGAGGCACAGAGAAGCTAAGTAACTTGCTCAAGATCACACGGATACTAAGTGTCAGAGCTAAAATTCAAATCCAGACAGTCTGGCTCCTGAGTCCTCACCTTAACCACTCTGTGATACTAGTTCTTTATGACTTATGTTCAGAGTTTACCGTATTGAAAAATTAAAGGCAGTATGGAATATTTTAAATTACAATGCATTTGTATAATGTGGTCATTAAAATATTTTTTAGACTATTATGAATACTTTCCCATTAACTTCTAAATGAAAAAAGCAAAAGTCTACATATAATCCCAATTTTATAAAAAAGGGGAAACATATATAAATAAAAATACAGAGGTTAAGAATGAAATAAGCCAAAATGATATAACGGTTGTTGTCTAGTGCTAATTTTTCTTTTCTTCTTTACTTTTCTATATTTTCCAAAATTTCTGCAGTGAACTTACTTTTACGCCTACCAAAAAAAGGGATACAGACAAAACAGAATATACAGACAAAACAGAGTCTGCAGAAAAACCTACAATTTGAACCCTAGAGCACCTGAGACAACTACCTATTAAGAACCTCTGTCTACTGGGAACCAGTATTATCAGACTTCTCAAATTTCTAAAATCACATGTAATACTCCTTAGCCACACCCTCGCAATTTGAATATCAGTTAATAATACCTTGCATTTGTATAGCATCTTTTTCACTTCTCATTTTATAATATTTTTGATGTGAAAAACAGGACTAGTCAGGGTGGTTACCTCTCTTTTACAGATGAAGAAACTAAAGCTTTGAAATTAAGCAATCATCCCAAAATGATATTGGGATTGACTATAAACTGGAACAAGTATCCAGGTCTCCATATAATTAGACTACTGTTTTTTTGCTATTTTAGTTTGAGTAGGTAAAGCCCAGTAGAGAGTTAAAAAACAACAACAACAACAACAACAACAAAGGAAACTGCTCTGACTGCTCTGATTTGACAACTTTTTCTGTGGGCTCCTATGAATAATTACTAACCAATCTCCTTTATGCCAAGTTTACTTGGCAATTTCTAGCTAAGCCAATGGGAATCTTCACTATTTCATGGGACACCTAGGAACCCAAGAGTTCTTCATCTCATGTTGAGAACTACACTCTTATCACAAAAAAAGTTTTTAATTTTTGCCCATTTTGCTAGCAATAAATCTACATAAACCTCAAAGCTTTCGTCAAGAAGCTCAGTGTTTAGGACACAGACTTGAAGAATTCTTATAAGAAGAAGAATTCTTATACCATAAGAATAAGGTATATATGGCCATCTTGTGTTAAAGGCAGAGAAACTCCAGGCACAGAAAAGACATACAATCATGGGTAGAACTGGGAACAAGAATCGTATATCTATTCTCCTGCTTCACAAATTTGTCCAGGCTGTTTCCCCACAGGAGTTTAAGTAAAATTATTATTCTTTAAAGGAGTTATTCATTACACCGTAATAGCATAATGAATAACTAATACAGGGCTGCTCAAAAGGTCTCCTTTTTATCTCTTATTCACTGAGGGAATAAAGACAAAACTGCTAAGTTCTGAATTCTGTATTAAGAGCATATTACAAATAATAGATGAACTATGTGATTATACTTTTGAATTATTTAGAGCTCTAAAGCATTTCAGAGAAGCATTACATTATAATAGAAGATAAAAACGACTATGATATATACAAAATTAAATTGGAAGTCACATCTAGTAGTAAGTATCAGGAGGCGTGTGAAGAGAAGACACCAACTATTCTCCACCCATTTATGTATATAAGAAGTCTTCCCGGCCGGGCGCGGTGGCTCACGCCTGTAATCCCAGCACTTTGGGAGGCTGAGACGGGCGGATCACGAGGTCAGGAGATCGAGACCATCCTGGCGAGCACGGTGAAACCCCGTCTCTACTAAAAATACAAAAAATTAGCCAGGCGTGGTGGCGGACACCTGTAGTCCCAGCTACTTGGGAGGGTGAGGTGGGAGAATAGCGTGAACCTGGGAGGTAGAGCTTGCAGTGAGCCGAGACTGTGCCACTGCACTCCAGCCTGGGCAACAGAGCAAGACTCCATCTCAAAAAAAAAGAAGTCTTCCCTAAATTTTTCACAAGTGAAGGCTTTTAATTTTCCTTCAAGTTTTAAGATTACTGGCTGGAAAGAGGATGGGAAGAAGGGAAAGCCCTGCTGAGAAGGAGAGTCCCAGGTGCTGCACCAGGGAGAGACAATGGCAGCTGTTAACAGTAGTACTCTCCTTTGCCATGGCCTCATGACAGCAGTCAGCTGATTTTCTCTCTGCCATAGGAAACTGCTTGAATATCAGTTAGATAAGTACTAGGATCAACTGGTAGGATGTATCTCATATTTGGCCCTATTTCTTGGCTCTATTTTCACGTCTTAACCATGTACAGGCACAAATACAAGATGCAGGATTATAAATTTCTCATCACATAATGTTTAATAGTGCTTGAAAGCACTGGATAGCTTGAAATATTTTCTCACCAGTAAAGTCTTTCTTGCTTGGTGAGCAGTTGTCCATTTCAGAGCCACGTTTTAAAATGTCAGTATGCAAATGTTCCTTCTTTTCTGCAACTTCTTCTACTTTTGTTCCAGTTTCTTCAGTTTCTAAAAAGGTATCCTCATACTTCTCATTGTGTTCTGCATCTCTGGCTGAACATAATTTGTTTATGATGCCGGAAGTTTTTTGTTCAAAACAAAAATTTGATCCTGAACTCAACGATCTGTCTTTTACAAGCCTCTTTTCTTCACTGGTCACACTGAGGGCCTCACCACATGCTCCAGCATCAAAAATGCAGACAGTTCCGTCAAGCTGACTTTCTTGTGCAACAGGCTCACTTTCAGCATCTGCTTTATTACACACAGATTCTCTTTTGCTATCACTTTGAACAAAACCTGAATAGCTCTTCCTACATCTTTTTTTAGTTTTCTTAATTGGGATTCCTTTCAAAATAGTCACCTTTCCTTTGGGTTTTCTAACCTTTCTGAAGTTAACATCATCAACACCCTCATCTTCTTTCAAAAGCAAATGAGTGGAAGTAAAGTTAGAGAGTCCTCTGCTATCCGGCAACTCTGAACTACTACTTGGCGGCATAAACACATCCTTTTTGCACTTGCTTCGGGTCCTGAGGTTCCGGTTTGAATTGTTACTTTGGTTTTGTAGGTGGGATGTCAGGGCTGCCATGCTGCAGTCTTTGTATCTTGACTTGGTACCCCTTTTAGAAAGTACAGTAAAATCAAAATCTTCTGGCTTAAGAGAAGTCTCTCCATTTTTGTGAAGATAATTAGCAAGTGAACTTTTGGATCTGAACTTCAGTCCTTGTGGGCTAGAAAATGATATTAAAGGAAACTTACTGCTAGTAAATAGAAGGGACTTTTAAAAGAATTGGACCACATTTCAGATTTCTAACTAATTTCCAAATGTTGCCATGGGCATCTGTCATTTAAAAATGAAGAAGAGTGATAAATGGCACTTTAAATGGTTTGTTTCCTCTATGACAATATAAATTTATAAATATAACTTAAATGCAACCTACCCGTTAACCATTCACAGTAGGAGGGACAAAATGTATGTAATTTTCCCCAAATCACTTGATGTAATTAATAGCAACATTGAAAGAAGAGAATCTGCAATCGTTTTATGATAAAAATATAAAGAAGCCAAGATTCCTGCTATGCTCCCACTATCTGACCAGACAAAATTATTTTGCTTTACTGTCTTTACCATCTTATATGCTTACCTGATAAAGTACACATCAAATCTTCCTGCTGTCTTCCCAAATAACCTTTGCTTCACAACTCTTTCCCATCCACACGGGACAGACTTATGGCATTCTGTCCCTGCAGTACCACCAAACTGAGCAGAAGCGATGGGTTCTAATAGCAGGGGATTACAATCACTGCTTCTTTTTATCATCATTTGTTCCTCATCTTCTTCCACTCTTTCCAATTCCACAGCAACATCTTCTTTGCTGGAAAAACAAAGTCTAAGTGATTAACGTATTTAAAATTTATCTTCCACTGCCTACTAAGTTTTAATCCATGATAATGTGGGAACCACATAGATTATCCATATTAAAATGGGGGAGACTAAAGTCAGTATGGACCAGCCTTGTGCTATGGGAGTATTTTCCTGTCTTCCAAAAGCTTCCCATACCCTCTAGCACAAGTTAAAAAGTGTTGGAAATCTCTGCACAACAAAAAGGTCAAGTTAGAAACTTTTCCGATTAATTACTGAGTAGGGCTATTGTAAAGATTTCTGGGGGCACTTAGCATAAATTTGAGAATATGAGCTAACAGCTGAGCTCTTAACCTGAGCTCTTAAGCATCAGAAAATGCTTAAATAAATCAGTGAGTTACTCTCTCTTCTCTGCCAATAAATGAGGTAAAAGTTTTACATAATGTAAAATTTCTGGGAGAGTGTATCACTTTCATCAGATGTAACCCTCCAGAAGGTAAATAATTTGATACAGAATTTTTGAATCTCCTTCATTCTTGATCCTCATGGTAACCTTGTAGGTATGATAAGATTAACTCTCAATTTATTGATAAAAAATTGAGTGACAGAAAGGTTAAATTACTTGCAGAACAGACACCTGAATCCAAGTCTACCAAATCTTGGTCTAATACTTCTCTCCCATACTATTATTGAAAAAAGTTGGCAAGGCAAGGTGGCTCATGCCTATAGTACCAGCACTTTGGGAGGAGGAAGTGGGAAGATCACCTGACCCCAAGAGTTTGAGACCAGCCTGGGCAGCACAGTGAGATACCTGTCTTTATAAAAAATGAAAAAAAAAAAAAAAGAAAAAAAAAAAAAAAAGCAGCCGGGCGTGGTGGCTCACACTTGTAATCCCAGCACTTTGGGAGGCCAAGGTGGGCAGATTGTTTGAACCCAGGAGTTTGAGACCAGCCTGGGCAACATGGCAAAACCCTGTCTCTACAAAAAATACAAAAATTAGCTGGGCGTGGTGGCGGGCACCTGTAGTCCCCGGTACTTG